GAGCTTGAAGCCAAGGAGGTAGTAATAGATTTGAAGAAATCAACTGTAAACAAAAGCACGAAAATTAGTACTACTACCACTACCACTGATTCAAGAAAAAAGAAAAACAAGACATCCATGAAACAAGACACACCATTTTGAATTTTGATGAGAGAGAGTTTGTGGTCAGGGCTTGTAAAGATAGTGGTGGACTAACTATCACTGCACACAGAGAGAGAAACGGCGCCTGGTAAATTGGTAATGGTACTGGTGCAGTGTGTTACTGTTACCAATGAAAGAACAGTCAGAGAGGGGGGGAGGGCGGCCACATCTAAAGGGGTGTGTCCTATTATTGTGTTTTGTTTTGGACAAGAGAAATACACTATCCTTTTCTTTTTAAAAAATAAAATACACTATACATAGCTAGTGGTAGTATATTATACTTTAGGCCAGTGCAAGCGGGGTTTGGAGAGTGAAAGCACAAAAGGGAGAACAAAATTTTTGTAGTTAGAAGATAAAATAAAGGATAAAAAATTAAGGGAACTCAAATCAAAATCTAAAACTTTCCTTTCTAGCTCATAACCCAAAAAACCTCTAACCATTTGTTCCTTGGCAAATGGGTAGTTTGGCCTGGCTACAGGTGCCTACTCTTTTCCTTTTTTCTTTTTGTTTTTCTCTGCACTGTGCTAAGTGCTAAATGACAAGACTAGAAACAGCGGCTTTTCTCAGTTCTCGGTGGAAACGGTAAAAAGGAATCGCAAGGGGCCCTAATAAGATCTTCACGTAAGTCACCATTTGTATCTCTATGGTTAGAATTAATAATTAGTTTTATACAGTATTTTACGAGACATGCACAAATTCTCAGAGTAACTTGGTTGTAGATACCAACAGGTGTTCAGATGGCGGTCCACATGAACAATATCTTCTTCTTTCTCTCCGTAAAATGAGAAAATGGGAGACAAATAGACTATCCAATTTCCTCGCAAGATATATATCATGTCCATAACAGGTTCAGTTATTTGAAAGGATCTCCATATTTTACATTTTCGTTACTCAAATTTAGTCTTGAGGTGTCTTGGAAGATAGATCCAATTGTCACGGAGACTAGAGATTGTCCTTCTTCTTTTCTATGTTTTCTTGTTTTCCATTTGGGGAGAAGGGCCAGTAGCACAGCAGATTGAGTAACTAAAGAGGGATTGGGAGTCTGTCCTTCTTTCTGGGTAATGAAACCACCACCACCACCCCAGCTACATGTAAATCTGCTTATCAGTAATTGCCCTGATTTGAGGTCGTCTTAGTGAAATCCATCCTTCTGAATAAAGAGAGAGACTGGGAAAACATTGCTGCTAGTGTTGCTAGCAGCAAAAGGAGAACGAAAAGAAAAGAAAAGGCTTGGCATGATACTACAGCGAGTATCATAATGGTTAGGCCTGGCTCCATTCGGTGAATTGACATGGAACTTAGGGCATGGTTGAGAATGTGTTTATAATTAATTTTTAAAGTATTTTTTAGATTAAAATATATTAAAATAATTTTTTGATTTTTTAAAATTTATTTTTGAGATTGGAATATTAAAATGATCTAAAATTTATAAAAATTTTACTTTTAAAAATATAATTTACACTGTATCCCTAAATATTTTTTATATGTTGGGTGATTTTTGTTGTTAGATATTAGTTGTTTTTTATTTTTTTTACAATATATTAAAATAATATTTATTTTTATTTTAAAAAAATTATTTTTTTATATTAGTAGATAAGAAATATAAAAAAAATTAATTAAAAAAATTTTAAAATAAAAAATAAATGGGCTCTTAATATATATTAAATTTTTAGTTGAATTAAATGATGCATTGAGATGATAAAATTTATTTTAAATTACCAAATATTTAGATTTTATTTATTTTTTCATTTTAAAAATATTTTTAATAAAAATTAAATTTTATTTATTTTTTCTTTGCTCAATAATAATTATTTTTATGTTTTTTTGTAGTTTTGTTGTGTTGGTATTAAAAATTATTTTTTTAAAATAAAATAAAAAATATTTTTTGATATATTTTTAAATAAAAAATAATCATTAACATATTCAAATACAAAAATCTTGACTCGATAATTTACAAATTAACATGGAATTTCAATAATTCAGATAGTAATATTTCTTTAAAGTAAATAGTAAATATTAATGGTAATTGAACGAGGAGATAATAATACCATACAAACAGCTACTATATCTTGGATCAAATTAAGCTCCCATGACAAGGTGGATTACCTATCTGGCCTTTTTTTTTTCAATCAAAATTACCTAGTTATTTACCATGTAAGATTGCACATGTCATGCGGGCAGGCAGCTTGCCTGCCTGCATGATATGAAACATCATAAACATGGAGGTGGTCTTCCATTAAAATTCCTCAGTGACAGGTGCAGTTATTTAAGGGTGCTTCATGAACATGGAATAGCAGTAACTGGGTTCTTCAATTTAGAAAGGATGCTAACAGGACTCCAGCTGAAACCATGAATGATCTACCGGTTTGAATTTTGTATCAACAGGACCACACGTAATTTTGTATGCTTTTCACAGCTGCAATAATGATTGTAGGTGTTGCGTTTATGTTCCATGACAATAATTCGTATATCTTGATGCAGCGAAAGCAACATGGAAAACAGAGCAGCCATTAATAGGCTGACTTTAGTCCATGTTACTTGTGGTTCAGTATAAAGACCGGTTTGGAAAACACAAAACCAAGCGCATCTGGCAATCAGTCATCTTGTCCAGTTCTTGATCATGTAGAAGTTCCCTTGCTAGATGCTAATAATTGGCAAATCGGACTGTAAATTCTGGGCTTATAGAAAAGAAAGGCACGAACGCACATAAATTCTGGACCCAATGACCTTTTCTATGCTAGACCATTCAATAAAGTTTCCCCGAATCAAGACATAGCACTTGCAATTATACGATTCCAAGATAATATAACTGCCAACAAAAAATAATCACAAGGTTTCGATACTGATTAGGCAGCCGAGGTTCGTTGTTAATTACGTGCTCCGAGGAGCATGAAGCAATGCAAAGGGTGATAGAGGAATGGGCCCGAGAGAGAGAGAGAGAGTTAGGCCGAAGGAGATGACAGAAGAAATTAAAATGTGAAAGAGAGAGGCGTACAGCAAGACTCGGACAAGCAGCGAAGATAGGAATTGGCATAAAAAAGAGTACGAATTTGAAACAGCAAAGCAATGCATGCAGCAGCTGTTTCATTGAAAATGGTAGGACAGCTATCTGACTCCAGCAGCCCTTGCCCCCAGAAAATTATAAACCATCAGCTAGCATAGGCTCAGCCTCAGGTACTAGTATCATCTCCACAGGGTACTATTCAGATTCGCCTTTATTCCGTGAAAACTACTGACTAGTTTATTATCATGTTCTTGCCCAGTTGAGCTCTTGTGTCTGACGCTCTCGATGTATATGATCATGTTCTCGCCGAGTTTAGCTTTTGTCTTACGTTCTTGATGTACATGTCTTCCACCAGTTACCCACATATAAACCATGGAGTAAAAAGTATCGATACAAATTAATTTAATATAGTATATTAAAATAATTTAAATACATTAAAAAATATTAATTTTAAATAAAAAAATTTTAAATTTACAATTTTAAAAAAATATTTTTGAAACAACATCCATCCATTTTTTTAAAAAAATATACTCTTTGATGATTTTGAAATTAGATGGAGATTGCAATTACTTTTATTTTGTTTTTATACAAGGCTGTCGTCATATCCTCCAATCTCAAGGGACCTTCATCCCTGAATTTATATATATATGATTTATTATATTTACATTCTTTTCAATTTATATCTAAGAATAATTTTTATAGTTTTTTAATATTATTTTGATTAATTTTACTCAATATATATAAATATTTTAAAGTCATTCAAACTTTTATTTGAAAATGACAATGAGCACCGGGGAAATATATTTTTATTGTAAAAATATCTATTATTTTTCATTTTAGTTGAAGATAATACTCATGCTGTATCTATTATTTATAAAATAAAATAATTATGTAAAAAAACCCGCTCATGGTTGATGTTAAATTACAATCTTTACCTCTATTTGAAGGTGGGTGGAGCAGAGCATGAAAAATTGCCTTTAATAATAAAAACGAAGACATCAATAACAGGAGATTTCTATGATGACAAATTAGGCAGAGATATGTATTTTGCATTGCGTTTTAAAAATTAAAACATTTTATTTTATTTTTTATTTTAAATTAATATATTTTTTATATTTTTAGATATTTTAATGTACTGATGATACTAAAATTTATTTTTAAAAAATAATTTTTTTAATATAATTTAAAATAAAAAATATTTAAAAACAACCACTATCATACTTTTAAAAATACTCTACATATATTATATATATATATTGTAAGTATACATTATGAACCTGCTAGCCTCTCGAAAAATAATCTATATCCTTGTACAATTTCCTTGAAAAACTCAGGATCCCAAGGGTATTCTGGTTGTTTTGAAAATATTTTTAAAAAATTAAATATTTTATTTTATTTTATTACTTTAAATTAATATATTTTTAATATTTTTAAATATTTTGATGTATGATAACACTAAAAGTTATTTTTAAAAAATAAAAAAATTAATGTAATTTAAAATAAAAATATTTTAAAAAACAATTGCTATTATATTTTTAAAATACTCTATATATATTGTAAGTATACATGATTAACCTCTGCTAGCATCTCGAAAAATAATCTCTATCCTTGTACAATTTAAAAAAAAAAACTCAGGATCCCAAGGGTATTCTGGTCATTAGGTTGGTGATCCCTTGTTAAAAAATTAAACCTTCAAAAATAATGGAAAAGCCTAACAAATCAAGAAATTAAAACTCCCACCTTAACCTCACCAACGGTGACTTCACACATAACAACCCCGCTGAACCCAATACGATCACAACGTTTCTTTAAATCAAACGGCTAACGTTAGTCACCCAAATCACCATCATCGTGATTTTACTCTCTACCCAAATCCCAAAACATAAAAAATAATTTTTTTTTCCCGCCTCCCTCCCACTGTTTCACTTTCCTTTCTCCTATATCACATTTAAAAAAAAAAATCATTTTCTCTTAAAGAACAAAATAAAAGGCCCTAATTTTGATACAATTTTTTTGATTTTCACAAATTAAATTTCTACTTCGCACTGAAATAAATGAGCAATCATGAGTGCTGGAGATCTTCTTAATATCCACTCAATAGAGCTCAAAACTCCAACGAAGTTCCTTTCTTGCTCTCTATCTCTCCTTTTCTTTTTCCTGTTTGCTTTCCGAGAAAATGGAAACAAAATAAAATATCTAAATTTATTGATTTTGTTACGAAATTACGCGAGAGCGGCTCTAACTAGGAGCCAAATTGTTTGTTGTTGGGATTTGTGAATTTCAAATCAATAGCTGGTAATGCATTTTGGCTTCTAATTTTATATGTGATGATAGCGTCTCGTGTAAATTATGGTTGTTTTCCTTAAGTGGATGGCTTTTCGTTTCATTTTGTTTTGCTTTAATGACGCATTGTAGACATGTATGTTTGGGCATATAATGGTTTTATGAGCTTTCTACTTGTTCTTGATTGGATCGTGTTAGTTACAATGCAAGGCCAAAAGGAGTCACCGCCAGATATGCAATGCAAGGACAAGCTCCTGCTTCAGAGTGTAGTTGCACCTGATGGTACAACTACCAAAGACATAACTTCTGATATGGTGGGGTGGCTTCTTTGTATCTTCCTTTGCTTATTCCTGTTTAAAGATTGACGGTTATGTTTTCTCAATACAGAGTTATTGTTTATTCCTGTTTAAAGATTGACGGTTATGCTTGCTCAATATAGAATTAAAGATGGGAGTGATTGGTTTTGCAGTTTAATAAGGAGGATGGTAGGGTGATGGAGGATTTCAAATTGACGGTTTTATACAGCCCTTGCAAATCTTCCCTCTCCTGTTGCAGAAGAACCTGATGAAGGATCTTCTTCTTCTAGGCCTTCTATGTTTGAGAACGGTAATCAGGATACTTCATTGCTTGATGCTGCAAGTGTTCCATCTTGATTCTGTTTTGAGATCTTCTTTCCTCCTTTTTGCTTTTATTGTACGCATATATGCTCATTGGAATCCAGGTAGCTATGGCATTTTCCATTTATTTGGGGTCGTTTTTCAGGTATCGAGATCTTTAGAGGAGCCTAAAGAAAAAATCTTCTGAGTTAAACTATCTTTTTTCCCTGTTTTCCTTAAAATTCTGTGACTTAGATCGTGAAAATTTACTTAAATCTGACGTTCCTAATTTACTCAATGACAAATATGTTGTTTTCGAAATGAGTTCTTGAACTTCATTACATGAAATCTGAAATACACAGGTCCATAATGATTTTATAAACTATAGCCATTGACATAAGATGTTCAGCTCAAGTGTTCTTTCTTGCAAAAAACTGATGACAGCTTTAATTTTGTGTTTGTTGTTCTGTTTGTATTTTGAAATTCCTCTGATGAAATTTAGAATAAGCAAGTATATTGGGAATGCTCCGGTATACTGGATATTTAGGAATTTAATGTGTTACTGCAATAAATAGAAGGATATGTTGGGACTGTGAAGCTACACCTTTTCATTCTTTTGGTTTTTGTTCCTGGCGGGAAAAGCATTGCTCTGAGGGCGATTTACAGGGTACATGTGTGGCATTTGAAATATCCAGCCATGTACCTGTAGGATTAATCACCAATTAGAGCTTCCATAAATAAACATTTTAAAGTTAAATGCTGCCTATTTACTCTTGAAAGTATTTTGCTTTATGGAACACCTTTGTTTTTGCAATTTTGGGTTAATTTTCTGACCTATGTCTGTATATCAGACTTGGTCTGTGATTTCAAGATTGACAGAGGAGAAAACTCCTGCCATGCCTGCAACAAAATCAGAAGCTTCGGCATGAACTGGTATGAATTGAATGTTAATGTCATTTTTTTAGTCTAGATAATTGGTTTATGAAAGTTTGGCAAAGTGCGGTTTTCCTTTTCCTATATCTTATATTGGTTTGATTCTCGAATGATTGCGCTGTGCTTTTCTGAGATTGGTTTTGCATTAAAATACACAGCATACTTCTCTCATGTGAAATATTTTTATCTTCTGTCGATGAGATACCGTATGGTGAAAGCAGGAAGAATAGTTGTGTTGTTGAATCCTCTTTTGCCTTCATGAATTCCTTCTAGTGATGCATTCTCAAGTTTCTTGTCAGTGAAACGCATTAGTTATTTAATGGTGTTTTGTCATTGTTAGCGCTCACCGATCTTGCTATTGTGTGCATTTTCCTGCAACAGGAACTGATGAGAAAACAGATCAGCAAAAAACATGCTGGGGGTGTCTCTTTACTGGTTGTTTTTCTGGTTTGGTTTGTTTGGCATCTTGGTTGGCTATATCTTCAAGTGAATATCCAAGCGACTGAGATTATAGTCTGAGTTGACAGAGTGTGCTGCCTTCCCAGAGGTTTTGAAACTTTTTAGGACTTCCTCACGTAGTTTGTAAAATTATAGTCAGATGCATTTTTGGCACTTTTGATTATTGATTTGTCAGATGTTTGAGCAAGAACTAGGTCGGTTTGGATGGTAGTTAGACTGGCTAATAGCCTGTTAAACTTAGGATCTCTTGTGAATGGATTGATTTGTAATCCAGTGACTGCCATTTCTCTTACTGAAGCTGAACCTGCTAATCACTGCTCACTAGTCTACTTCCTAAACCCCAAAATGTACAAGTTTTTGCTTTCCATCTCTGATTCTTTGCCTGTATATCTGTGGTTTTTTCAACGTGCCCAAGGAATTTATTATCAGTCCCTTGGTAGAATTCTGAATGCTTAAAAAGCTGTGGGTTTTCATAAATCATTGAGACTAATCCTGAGACTTGAAAGAAATGCTCTGCTAGGCAATGTGAGATTATGGAATTGCTGCGGTCTGGAAATAACAGATTGAGCTATATTGGACGCTAGTTATTGAATGATACACTTTCAGCCTATGCAATCTTTAGTTTTAGTAATAGAGTAAGGGTACATGTTGCTTTATCAAATGAAAACCGATAGACCGTTTCCACTAAGGCACTAACCGCAAGCATGAAAGTAAGACAAACCACTCATAAAGATGGGAAGGGGGGCAAAAAACTATAGGCTAATACATGGAAACATAAGCTCCCCGATTTTGCAGATAATTCAAATAGATCTTCATATGAATAAGACTAGAGTTACTCGAGATGGGATCATAATATAGGTGCGAACCCTGTCATGGTGATGGATCGATCAATCATTCTGAAACAACATCTCTGTCTTTCTTGTTGCTGGGTTTGCGATGGGTTTCTTCCATTTGTTTGGCCATGGAAAGGCCAAATTGAGCAATTTTTTTATGTTAGGCACGTTGTAGTTCTGGGCTATGTAGATCCCAGACAGCGTCCCGAACATGAACGAGAAGGAGCTCCTTATCAAACCCATTTGGCCCCCAAAAACTCTTTAGTATGCAGCTCGCTATGTAGAGTATGAGAAAGCGACTTGGCTTGATCTGAGAGATGTGAACCAGGAATTTGACAGTCTTGAGAAATCAAAGATGGGTGTGCAGGGGATTCATAAAGCCGTGATGCCGTAATTCCCAAGACTCAAAATGAGCCCCCCTTCTGTGTACATGGTGACTCCTCCTCCAAGGGTCAACCCTTCTTGGCTAAGCAACAATTTTTTTCAAAGAATAGCGACACTTTAAAAGATAGAAGACAAGATAGCGTTACTTTGACTTTGTTTTTCTTTTTTAAATTCTCAATTTATCTTGTTTAAAATAGATAATGTAAAACTATTTACCCTTAGTGTTTGCTGAACTAGGAAAAAAAAATATTAATATTTTGTATCATTTTAATATGTTAATATCATACACAAATTTTTTTAAAATTTTTTATATATATTTTTAAATAAAAATTAAATTTTTTTTAAAATTTTTTTTATATATTTTTAAATAAAAATTACTTCAAAAATAATTTTAGATCAATTTAAGGATACATATAGGAAAATTTCTACTCTGATTTTAATTTCTTTTAATTATTACAGTTAGAAAAGAGAAAATGTTATTGAATATCTACTTTCAAGTTCTTGAGGATATGGTAAAATTAGATGTTAGTCCCTAACTTTCTAAAGTTCTAAAATGAATCCCTCAAAGTCACATAAGATTTAAGACTTCAAACGTCATTAAATGCAAAACTATTTGAGGATAAAATGTGATTAGAGAAATTATTGTCGGTGAGCAAACACGACCCAAGAAATCGATAATAGTAGCAGACAAAGAACCAATCTGTCAATTAGGTCACTTATTTCCTGAATTTTAATTTATTTGAGAATTGATTCATCAACTAAAAAGGTTAAAATGGACCTCCTGCTATTTCGCTCATTTAAAATTGGATCCTTCTGTTAAATTTGTAGGGTTTTTTTTTTCCTATTAATAAACGTTTAAAAATCACCTCCGTAAATAATTTGAGCATGTTGTACCCTTTACTTCTAGTTTTTGGTTATTTTAAACCTCCCATCTATTTTTGTATGTGAAAGTCATATAATTTATGTACAAATTGATCTAAACCCCTTGATTTATTGACTTGTTTCTTAGCCTTTAGATGAGTTTGACTTTTAAGTAAAAAAATATTTAAAAATGACACAAAAATATCCATAAATAGGAAAAAATATCCATGAAAATATATATATAAAACAACAAAGAAAATCTCAGAAAATTCGGAAAACAAAAAAAAATCTCAATTTTCATCTTTGGACTTGTTATTTTTTCTGTAATTATATTTATTGTAAATTTTTTATTTACAAAAACAAAATCTCAATTTTCATCTTTGGACTTGTTATTTTTTCTGTAATTATATTTATTGTAAATTTTTTATTTTACCTCACAATCAATTTAACAAGAAAAAAAATAAAATGGAGGGGAGGTTTAAAGGGAAAAATAAAGAATAAAAATAGAAGTAAAGGGTTCAATACGATCAAATTGTTTGCGGAGAGTTCAATTTGATGAATTTTAATAATAGGGGGACAATTTGTGAAACCTACAAAATCTAACTTGAAGTACTCAATTTCAAACGAATCAAAGTTGCTAGAGGTCAATGTCAGCTTCTTAACTGATGAACTAGTTTTGAAATAACTTAAATCTCAAAAGATAAGTGATCCACTTAATTAAAAAAAAAATGAAGTAAAAATTGGGGTAAACAGAGACAAATTAACCTCCATCGCTGTCTTTCTTGGAAAAAAAATTGAAGTACAAATTGGGGTAAACAGAAACAAATTAACCTCCATCGCTGTCTTTCTTGCTGATGCACATAATTTTATTAGTAAGTATATGACATTACATAGAGCAGGAGTCGTCCTATTACTAATTGTGATGAGTTAAATCATTCAGAAACGCCATCGCTCTCTTTCTGGTTTCTGGGTTTGCGATGGGTTCTTTCAATTTGTCTAGCCAAAGAAAGGCCAGTCTCGGCAAGTTTTTTGACGTCTGGCAATTTGTAGTTCTGGGATATGTAGATCCCAGCGAGTGTCCCCAACATGAATGAGAAGTTTCTCCTTATCAGGCCCATGGCTGCCTCTTTTCTTCAAGGAACGATGCTTCACTTGGCTGAGCTAGCTACAGAAAAAGAAAATTAAGCAGTGCTGAAGCAGGAACTAATTCAGTAGTTTGGAGAAGGCAAGGTTGTTTAGCAGAGGACTTATATAACTTGTGGGCCGTCCTGACGTCTTTCTGAAGACACGAAGAGGGATAGAGTGGCTCCTCCTCCAAGGGTTTGAATATTTATTTTTCAGTCCTGGGATCTTGGTGAAATTATATGTTAGTCCTCGACTTTTTAAAAGTTACCTTTGAATATTAAAAAAACTTAATAATTGTTCAAAAAATAAAAAATAAAAAGAAATCCATGTCTTTTCTTTTATATTTTTTCCAATGTTTAGAATACAAGAAAAAGAATTTATTTATAAGAAAATCAAATAAAAATATCAATGAACAATAAAAACCCAAGTACCATAAAAAATCAAGAGATTAAATTAAAAAATCATGAAGTTTAAGAGTTTTAACGAGCTTTTAGAAGAGACTAAATTCAAAGGTAATGAAGTTTAAGAGTTTTAACGAGCTTTTAATATATATAATTATAGATTTTATAACATTTTCTCATGAATGACTATGTACTAAAAATTTATTTCATTAAAACCTTGTAATTCTTTAAAGGATATCCATATGAATTTTCAATAATTCATTGTATTATTATCAATCCTAGATGTTCAAGTCGATCATGACAAAGCATAAATATTTTTAAATTAGGACACTTCTGGTGTGTCATAATATTTATTTCAATATATTTTATAATTGTGTAATAAATTTTAGAAGAGAAAGATAATTTTTAAAGTACAAGCTTTTGACATGAAATGCATGAAAAAAATATATAAATATTCAGATAATTTTTAAAGTACAAGTTTTTGACCTGAAATGCATGAAAAAAATATATAAATATTATTTTTTGTTTTCATTTATTATTTTAATATGATAACCATTAGAACATATATTTTTAAAACTAAGTAAATTTTTTCAGGACTTGAGTGAGTATAATGCATTTTTGTTGTCCAATTTTGTGTTATTTTGTAACAAAATATTATCTCTTATAGAGCCTTTAATCATGGCTATTGAACTTAATATTATAGTAACTTTAGTTAATGTCAAATAATCAAAGCATTTTTTTTCTTCAAAATTATGCGCATTATTGTACTGTTTGCTAGATATAAATCTCCATCATAAAAAGTCATGCTTGTTTTTAAAATATAATTAAAGTTTATTATTTAACTAAAACCAAACTAATATTATTTATTGAAAATATAATAAAATAAATATCCTAATACAAATAAAAATATTAATCATCCCCAATGATTCCACAACTAAATATGTTATCTCTTTTATCTAGTGTTTTTAAACATGATTCGATGGTTGACCCGACCCAAGGTCAGGGTCACGGGTTTTGATAGGGTCACCCGGATTAATTTTATTTTTTTTATAAATCAAAACGATATCATTTTGGTAAAAAAAAAAATCAATAGATTGCAATCGAATTTTTAATTGAATCTTGTCAAATTAACTTGCTGAGTCGGCCGGGTTTTTAACTACTCATATTTTTTTATAAAATCAGTTCGGTTATATCCTTGGATTAGCCATATCCCAGATCGCCTACTAAGCTAAATTTTAAAATTATAATTTTGTTAGAGTTTTCAAAGAAATCAAATATTTATTTCTTGAGGTCTTGGTAAAAATTATATGTTATTCCTTGAGGTTGACCTCCGCTCATCATAATATTTTTATACTTTCCATGTTGTTTTTTTTTATAAAATCTTTTATCAGTTACATCCTCAATCCAACTATTATATTTCAAGATGATGCTGCAGGAAGATTTTCTTACGATGTGATTCGTAATCTACACGCCAAGATCTGAAGGTAGAACGACAATTAAAAAAAAATAAAGTAACTATTTAATTAAAAACCATAGTAAATCAAATTAACACGGAACATCATCAAACCATTTATAAGCAGCACTGACCTCCAAACAACAATACAGGATTCTAACAAGTAACACAACATAAATCTTCATTGGCGTTCTAATTATTCTTTCAATTATTAGCAAGTGGCATGCCCGAGGTTGTTGCCTGTTCAGTTCCTGGGCTTGCAGCCTTGCGTGCTTGACGAGGACAAGTCCGTTTCCGGTGAGCTTCAGGATTTTCCCAACGTTGTGCTCCTCTCGTAACGAAGGCTCCAAACACAGTTCCCATAACAAAGGCAAAAACAGGCCTCATCTCCCTTGTTGTTTGTTTATAAACTCTACTCTAGATATTGTGTAAAAGCAAGAGCAAGACTAGATATGGTGTTGGGAACTAGGCGATTGAGCTGGTGGGATTTATAAAGGTTGTTGTCTTTAGAAGACACCTTGATGCCCAAGTTGTCTTTGCAAATGATTTCACTAAATAAAGCTAGCCTCTACTCCAAGGGTCAACCCCGCTCTCTTGCCGTGTTAAATATTTTATTCTAGATGGCGGCATCCATACTTGGTGGATAAGGTGCAAATTTGACTCGGTCAGTTAGCATTTCTGGTCTAAACCAGCCTCTAACAATCAATGAATTTGCTCTCATTAATGGGACTTCCTCGAAAATAAAATAAAGAATGAATCAATAAAGGAAAAGAAAATAAACTTTTTTTGTATATTGTCCTTAAATCGTATCTTTGATATGTGTAAATGATCATGCTTTAGGTGATGTTAAGCTTATCATGTTCTTAAACTATCATCCATTCATATGGGGTTTTATTTATTTTTCTCAGATCCTTTTTTGAAGAACTTGATGAATTGGATTACAAAAGTAGATATAATATGCTAGTGAGAGAGTGTATGAGAGATAGGGACAATGATGGTTGATAATTTCTATTAAAAAATATGTTTTTGTCTTAATTGTATTCTTGTATTGTCAAATAACTGGTAGATAGTGTTGATGCAAAAAAATTTATCGTTGGATTAATTAAAAAAAGATGTATTTCTTTAATGATTTTTCAATTTCAGTTTTTTTTTTTGTTCTTACCTTTTGATTTATATTGAGATATCCCGTAAACTTTGGAGATGAAATTAAAATTTACACATAGCGCAACAAAAATAAAGATTGTAGGTCTAATCGAAACAAATCAAAAGTTTTAGATGAAACTGAAAAAAATACATAAACCTGGAGATTATAATCTACCCTAAATTGGCTGACGACCATGAAGGTGGGGCAAATCAGAAGATAGGGACCCTGTTTTCTTTAGCTGTTCTGAGGTGAAAGGAGTTTGGTGCCAGCTGTATCTTTTCTGTTTGGCAAGAGAGAGATAAGAAAGCGCGTGAGAATGTTGCTTCGGATTTCTCTACTTTGCCAAGGCAAATTATCCAATATTCCAATCTGTTGAGTACAGATTACGTAAGACAACGCTGCTGAGAAATGCTATGAACAGTAATCCCAGATATGATTTGTTATATAATCTCTGGGATTTTGCTGATAATTTTCTCGGTCAGAGTCTGTAAAATGGACTTAGTCTTCTATCGTGTATGCTTCAATTTCCCAGGATAGTATCCTGTTTTTAAGCTCTTGTAGGAGGGCGAGCACCTACCTAGTGTTTTTTTAGTAATAAAATTCTCGATAATCAAGACTGGGACCTTGAGATACCTGAAATGTTAATTTATGCTAGGACAGAACAAAGAGGACGAATGTAAACACCAAATAGAATGCAAAATGATAAGCAAGAAGTTATCTCGGCCACACAGCTACTGCACATGGCAATGGGCCAAAGATTTTGCTACTTTGAGTCATGCCCTTCACATAATTGAATAAAAATCCAGCTTCAAGTACACAGCATTCATGGCTTAACATTGGCCACTGCTCCTGTAGTGGCTGCCTGTTATTTTCAGTATTTAATTGTCTATGCATTTGTATTTCTCTATATAAAGCTTCTTTTGGAGCACTCAAAGTTCCATAACGTGTGTGTTGCATGAAAGAATGGCCTTCAAGGGTTCGAAGGCAGCAGCTATTTTTGTTCTGCTCAATGTCATTTTGTTCACTTGTGTCTCATCTCATAACGTACCGGCCTGTCCTCCAAAAGCTCCCCCAGCCCCAAAGAAGCCATCCAAATGCCCTAAAGATACCCTCAAATTTGGTGTTTGTGGCAACTGGTTAGGGTTGGTTCACGAGGTTCTTGGGACCCCTCCAAGCGAGGAATGCTGTACCCTTATCAAGGGTCTTGCTGATCTTGAAGCCGCATTGTGTTTATGCACAGCTATTAAGGCCAATGTCTTGGGAGTTGTCAAGCTCAAAGTTCCCGTTGCAGTTAGCTTGCTCCTGAGTGCTTGTGGAAAGAAAGTTCCTGAAGGTTTTAAATGCGCATAGAACTCCTTTGTTTCTGTTCATTGATGTTTGTTTTACGTTTGAAACTTGTTTGCTCTTGTAAAACTCGCTTTCCTATAAGAAGCGAAGCTGAACACCTTTCAATAAAATGTGTATTGAGTGTCTTCCTTTTGCTTTGCATCTGTTCTAAAGAGTTGAGACAAATAATGGCAAAATGCGAAAACATGTCGAAGCTAGATTACAGCTTAAGAGCTGCAAAGCATTCTGGTTAATTCATTCACTTTAAACGTGTAAAGGTGCTGGAGAATCAGTAGAATCCTCATCATGTACCCTGTTTTATAATAATAATTTTGCGCTGTAAAACCTTTCAGCGAAGCGTTGCAAAAGGAACATATGGCCCAGCACCAAGGGGTTTAAATCTTGTAGAACATGTCCATAGGAGGCATCATAGCCCGTTGAATCACCAAAGGAGCACTCCTTTTCCAGTGCAGCAGGTAAGGTTTGAAGCTTTGACTCAATGGTGCAAACGGATTTTTGTAGCAGGGCTTTCTCTAATCGAAAGCATGTTTTTGATATGATAATTGTGTATGATAATGTACAATTTAACATGTTTTTAACTTTGGGGCTTAAAGAATGTGTTGATACTCTAGAAGCAAAATAAAATCTCTGGAGAATCAGGTGTTAGAATTTGTTTATGGTTGCTATTTTAATGACTATCTTTTATTCTATGTAATAGAATATCAGATATGCTTGAAGAATAATTAACTTACAATTCTATTTTTTTTATTGTATAAATAAACATACTAAGATTCAATAAATAAAGAATGTGTTCTGCTGCATCTACAATAATAAAGTTTTGTTCTCTTCAATATAAACAACAGAATGATTACAGTATGATAATGTCCCGTTGCAGTCTCAACGGTGACGAAGAACCCATAAAGCACCAAAATGCCCATTTCAATGACAGAACTTGATTACAAACGTCAGTGTCTTTTTGTGGCTAGTGCAATTCCAGAGAGAAGCATTCAACGAAAGGTTCCATTTCTGGCCTTATCTCTGTGTGATCTCAACCTCACACTTCCCCACCCAAAACCCAATCCGTAAAACCGAAGCCATGGCCACAAGCAACTCCAAACTTCAGCACTTCTGGTCATTCTAATGTTGCTTTTTAAATTATTTTTTATTAGAAAATTTATTAAAATAATATTTTTTTATTTTTTAAAAATTATTTTTAATATTAATGTATTAAAATAATTTGAAAATATCAAAAAAATATTAATTTAAAATAAAAAATAAAATTTAAATTTTTTTAAATACTCTTTTGAGATACAAAAATAAACAAGGTTACGTTGCGATCCTTACCTTTGCTCCTTGAAAAAGTTCCTCGTCCAATCCATTTATCAAATCACCAGCTTCTCTGAAATAATAGCATCCCCATTTTTTCTATAAAAGGTCATGCTTCCGTAACCATGCAATTGGGAAGAATGCGTTTTAGCTCTGCAGAACTTGATGGTTCAAGCGACTCCTAAAATCCGCCAAACACACTAAGCAAACCCTTTTGTTGCTATCGGCTCTTACTGCTCTCACCAGACAAACCAACACAAGAGCGCACGTAAAAGAAAATTAGCTGATACTTCAATGATTGTACAAAGAAGAAGATAGTTTTACAGTAAAGAAAGAAAATAATAAATAAAGTAACAAAGTAAGGAAATTTTCCATTGGACAGGAATCCATTTTTGGATTTGGTATGAATAAATGTTTTTTGATACGCTTCAACCTTGCCGCTGGTAACATGAGGGCATCACAAGGCAACTGAAACGCGGTTCGAACCAAGTTAGGTTTACAGGATTTGTTAGCATTTAATTCACACTTGATAACCGAGTTCAAGTATGCAGCTGGTGTGGCTAGCCAGTAGTTCAAGTATGCGGACTCTAGCCCAGCAGGAACATTGATAGCCGCACAGTTGAGAGGGGGGGTTAGTTCAGGGGGCAAGGGTTTTTACTTTTTTGATGTTTTGCGTAGCATTGATGAACATAGGGACGCGTTTTCCATCAGGCACAGCATGGTTTGAGTCACGCCAATACAAAATCCTTTATTAGTTAAAAAAGTTAATTGCAAAGCCAGTGATGATACAACCGAGTCAGATACTAGCAACTCGGGTACACAAGGGCATGATTCAATAACTTCACTGATTCCACTGCCTGCAAAGCGACCAAAACCTGCAATAGACTCGGCAAGTGTAGGTGAAAATGTTAATGAATTATCCCACTCAAAAACTTAAATTTAAGTTAATTCTTTGACATAATATCAAAGTTTTATTAACTAAATAATCATGAGTTGGAATCATATTATTTTTATTTTATTTAATAAAAATTAGTAATATAAACCTATATAAGTTTGTAATATAAAATGTTTTTACTTAGAGAATATCTTAAAAAATTATATAAATTATATTTTAAAATTTCACTTAACAACTTAAAATTTTAAGTTAAGATGATTTTTTTTATATAGAAAAAGCATCCTTTAGGGAGTGAACAAGATGGGTTTGGGAGAGTTAGAGGGCCAAGTGAGGCGTTCAGCAGGGAGGAGACTTCTAGTATTTTCACAGGGTTGAGGGATCCTATGAAGTCAGAAAAATAAGAAAGTGTAAGAGGAAGTAATAAATATGAGCACCCGCACCCGGTGATGATCGAACGATGCTTGGCTTCTTTCAGTGACATGTAGCTACAAGGATACAGACTTGTAATATTTGTGGCATTATCGATGACATATTTACCATTTTCAGACTTTGTTTTCAACGGTGAAAGAGTTAGATCAACTCTCACGCACCACGATTGAACACTTACTCTATTATAAGGAAAGCAAAGAAAGATTTAATTGATTCTATCCATAGCACATGTATAACTAATTGAGCAAATGCAATGCTGCAATCAGTTCACACAACCTTCAATGCAGTAATGGGATAGGGGCCTCTCCATTGAAGGAAATGGAAAAGGACTGCAGGTGGCTTCAGGAAGTGCAGTAGCCTCGCAGGATTGATAAAGGGACATCAATTATTGGTAGCCAGTAGGGATCTGAGGCTGGAGCCGGGTCTATAACTATACATGCCACGAACTGCTTATGAAAACAAAGAAGACAATGATAAAATAGAGGAAACGAGCAAGAGAGTTCTTGAAGCCAGAGACTCAAGAAATTGTAAAATATGATGAGCAACAGAAGCAGGGAACTGAAGATGTTATTCATAGACGGTGCATAGCCTGCCTTGACCACAGTTCTGTATGTTTTCACATATGAAACACACGCTTACATTCCTTGAAGTTATATTCATGATGTGTTTCATACTTCAGATGTCATCAAGTTTGAGGCTTCGAAAGAATGATAACACGATGATGCCCAATTCGAGTCTCACTGATGCGACCAAGGTGGCGAAGAACCTGTAAAAGACCAGATGCATGGGTAACATTTCACCAAGTAAACGAACTTAACAGGTATGGATCTACTGAACAGCGTTTACCATTTTATGCTGTCAAAATAACAGCATAACAAGTTTCCAAGAATATTAAGTTTTGGATCTATTTCCCTAATGCCAAGTAAACCTCGTGTCAAAGTTCATGCCATGTATCTGACAAATTTATAGTTAATATAGAAAAGGAACTGCAGTTACTTTTATTTGACTTTCTTAAGGATGCAAATAGTCATTGTATTCCATGATTCGATTATGGGTAGAAAATTTATCTAGCAAAAGATGAAAAAGAAAAGAGGAATAACTTACAGTCAAAATCGCTTTTCCTGTGTTGTCAAGCTTCAAGCTAGGTCCTTTTATATCAGTTTCAAGAAAAAAGTGTTTTCCCTTTATTGATTCTGTCATCGCAATATCCCTTAGTTCCTGTTGTCAAGGAGACACTAAAATCAACTGCATATAACAGTCAGTTTGCCTATGAATACAAAAACAATGCTACTATTTGAAATAAATCACGGACACATGGTGTAATTTTGACTCTTCATATTTTTTTACTTAAGCACCTCCTAGTTTAGGAAAACCTTATCGTACAACAACTCAGGAGGTAACTGCTATTCAAAGAACTGTTTAACCTTCAAAGGGGAACATAGATAAAGAAATTTTAGGTTATACTACCCAGCAGTAAAGTTCACTTACCAATGCTTTTTCCCAGAGATTCTCAGCCAGCTTCACAGCGGAAAGTTGGAAAAAATCAGAATAGTTGCAAAATTAAGCATGTACTAATGGAAGTCAGATAAAAGGGCTGAAGTGAGACCTTCTTCTTTGGGGCTGTAATAAGCTGAGAATTTGAATCAGCATATGCTGCCATGTCATTAATAGCTGCATTGACCTTATCTAGGGTGAGCCTTCCTCTCATGTATCTGCAATCAGCAATAGCACTGGAGTTGGTCGGGAGCTTTATAATATGAATGCTAGACGGGACTCTTCATTCCCAACATTTCCCTGCTAATCTATGTTATGAAACCTCATACACTAGCCTCGGTTTCAGTATCTGTGCAAAAGTACTCAGACCAAGATTGTGCCACGCCTCAAACTCAGTTGAGACATAAGTGTAAACACTAGTCCTATACTTGCAGAAATACACTACTACTGTTTTGTGTGAAATTTGATATGTCATTGGAAAGCTAGAGCCATGTCAAAAGACTCAAAACAGAGACCTTGCTCGGAGTGACATATCAAGGAATGGCACTGAGTGGCATGTAAGTAGTCTATGAATGGAATATGGATTCTTCAAAGAAAAACCATATAATTAGAAAGAAAAGAAAGATTAACTTACGAAGATAGGGAATCCAGCTCAGCAGCAGTTATATACCACAATGGTGGAGAGCTACGACCCTTTTTCTCCTGAAATTTAACAAAATCTTGATCAGTGATTTAAATAGTTCCCTCGCACTCAAGCTACAGCAAAAATTCATGAAAATTATAGCAACTGAACATTTGCAAACTATTTTCCCCTTATTTCAGTTATTCATTATCCATCTAGTTTTTCCAGGTCCATTAAATTCAAAATGAGAATGAAAGTGAATTTATTGGTCTGAGCCATACAAAACGTCAACAATCCGTATCCCCATAGATTTGGGGATTGAAATTAAAACGTAAATTTTCCATTACAATCACATACCTTGTGTGTTGCTACAGGCTCCTCAGGTTTCGATGGACCAAAACCAGGAAGTTGATTAGATGCTTCTGGCAGAATGCTGACAATACATAATAAAATAAGCACATTTGCAGCTCAAAATCTTAGACTCGCAGACTTGTAATATACGCATAAAAACACCAGTACCTTCTATTATTAATTTCCGAATTCGAGAAGGTTGTTCTTTCTGGCACATGTACAGACATACTTTGCAATTTTTTCTGCTGCCTTAGTGATGCTTCGATTAGTTTCTGAATCCATAAAACAAAAAAACAAAAAACAATTACAACCACAAAATATAAATGCGCATGCTTGATTAACATAACCAAAACAGCTCCCCCTCTATTTTATAACCCTAGAGACAATAAAATTCTGTTTTATTCAAGTTGTTTTCTTCGAGATAGTGTTGTGTTCCACTTAAATAAACCACAATGATTTTGTTGAGCCTAATTAATTATTATTTTTATTAATTCTTTAATCCGTACATGACTTCCAGCAAAATCAATTTCAAAAAAACAAAAAACATATTTTTTCTTTTTCTTTTTTGAAATCATGCACGATTCCAATGTTTCTTAAATTCTCTCGATTCCTTAACATTCAAGCAGAGCAGAAAAACTATAATCATAAATAATTCAACTTAACCTAGATGATTAGCCCTAATTAGATGAAACTCGATTTCGGTTATTCAATTTTACAATCAACAAAACAAATATCTGACTGAAAAAAAAGACAGGGAATTCAGAGCAAAGGTGTAGTACTTTAGCTTTAGGGATCGCCAAGGTCTCCTCACGCAAGCGGTCTTTGATAGCTTGCACTTGCAGCTCCATCGCCTTCAATGCTGTGTCCACCGCCTTCAAATCGGTGACGCTGCTCGCCGGATACACTGCACGAACAAAAAATTTCAGTTCCGCGTATGAGAAAATGAAACACAAAATGTCACAGGAGAATTTTATATCGAGTTCGGTGACTCACTGTTTCGGGCAATAACGAGTTCTTGTAACTCAGCGATTCGAGTATTGAATGAAGAAATCAGTGAATCGAGTGATGAACCAGCTTGCTTCACATCCATTTCTCTCTACAGGATTAGGTTTTCTTTCAATAATTTTGCCGTTTCTCTCTCTAGTATTTGGATTTGTATTTCTAGGATTTCATAAAAATGATTTTGGTGGGAATGGATGTTTTGTTTTCAAAAATTTTGGGATAAACGCAGTCAAGGGTGCCGTTTTATGAAAATTAGTTATGTTTTTTTTCCTTATAAATTTGGGGTTTCTTCAGGTAAACATATTGAAAAGTATACCAAAATCAAATTAAAATTTCCGACTCAGTCAAGTAGTATTGAATTAACGAAAACTCTTCTTATTGGACCAAATGTTTGGGCGGAGGATGTTAGAATTATCATTATACTTGAGAAATATTATTAAATATTTGAAAATTTGTGGAGAGAGCAAGTAATCATTTTCGAGGGACAAATATAAAAATAAACTTAAGGTTTGAGGACTATATTTGATTTTGGAAATGGATAAGCTTGAGCTTTGTTGATACGCGGACTGATCTAGTAAAACTTGAATGTTAGACAAAAAATTACAAACCCATGGTTTTTTTTTAAAAAAAAAAAAGAAATAACAATTAAAAAAATAAAATAATTACCCAAGTCGTTTGTTTTTCATAAAGTTTGGAAAACATTATTATCTAAATTAGTTACAATAATTTAAATAAATATAATTTTTTCAACATAAATCATCCTAGACATATGTATGGCCCTTAAAAACTACATAAGCTGAACTTACAATATAAATATCAAAACAACATTTTGGTCATCAACCTCACGAGCTAAGCAAATGTTTGTTCATAGTCTGTTCTTTTGTTTAATGAGCCTAAACTCCTTGTAGTCTTGCTCGATCTCTATTCACGGGCAATTATCTAAGTTATAGGGTTTCTTATGATGTTTTCTTATTCGTATAAATAGTAAAGCTTTACTTTTCATTCTTTTTATATTTTCTTCTTTCAATTGAATTTTTATATAGCATCATTAGATAAAATTAGGCTTGGAATTATGAAAAACAAGTACCAAATTAAAAAAATAGAATACTGAAAAGTAAAACACAAAGAAAATATATAACTCCTTCTATATTCACAATAATTTACATTTTAATTTTTAAGTTTTTATTTTTCAGTTATAAGTTTGAAAAACAATTATTACAAAATGATGATGGAAAAGAAAATATTATTGATTGTCATATTTGCAGCAATTAAGATAAGTAAGTTTGGTATTAAAGAGTTTTATTTAATGAAAGGAGCAAAATGTAATGGTTTCTGGCCTTCACCTAGCTTGAAAAATTACATCGGCCATGAAAGATAAAAAAAGCCTTTTGATTCAATAATTGAATTATATAAAACATAAAGAACATTTATCATACCAAATTCAAAAAATAGATTCCTGATTTTGTATTTTTGTCATTGCTTTTATGTTTCTTATTTCTTAATAAATTGGTCTTGAGTGGTTTTAAGAATGTTACTTGATATTTTCTATTTAAAAAAAAATAAAAATAAGTTTTTAGATAAAAAAACAAGCTTATTATTTTCTAACCACCATAATAATAGTCAAATTTTAGAAAGCAAAAGAATTGTTATTTGTCATAATAGGTGGCATGCTAGGTGTTTTTTTTGTTTTCAAAAAATAAGGGTTGTTCTCTTATAAAAGAAAAAATAATAAAAGAAGGCCCGAGTTAGCGAATAACCTTATAAAAAATAAATTATAAAGTTTAATTTCTGATAAGTCTAATATTGAAATATAAAATTGAGAATAAAAAATAGAAAAAGGCAAAAAAAACCTCGAGTTAGCTCACTAAACTCATGATTTGGATCATGAAATTAAGATAACTTTACAAAAAAAAAAATGAACCTTAATCCTTGATAAACCTAATGCTAAATGATGTAATTAAAATTAAAAAAAAAATAAAATTATTATAATGAAGATAGGCACATCGAAACCCTTTCTCTTTTAGTTTTTGATAATTATTAAAATAAATTATGAATTTTAATTCTCAATCAATTTAGTATTGAAAGATAAAATTATTTTTTTAAAAAAATTAATAACTAAAAAAATTACTCAAATCAATTCGAGTTAATTTGTAAAATTTATGACCCGACTTATGACACAAAGATAACCTTATAAAAAAATCAAAACAAGCCATGAAACTTAATTTTCAATTAATTCAATGTTGAATAATGAAATTAAATAAATAAATAAATAAAAACTTTAGTTAGCCAATTTAACTTATTAAATTCATGGTTTAAGTCGTGTGATTATGATAATTTAATAAAAAAATAAATTAAAATAAATTACAAATTTAATTCCCAACAAATATAATGTTAAATAATGTAATTAAAATAGAAAAAAACAAAGAAAAAAAATTATTATAATAAGAAGTGATATAATAAAATCCTCTTCTCTTTAAGTTTTTGTTAGTTATTAGAGAGGTGCCCCACGGCTCATTATATGCTAAGTTAATTTTTTTATATATATTTTTAAAAAAATAGTGTTAATGTGTTTTTTATTAAAAAAATAAAGTGACTCAAGTTATATAACTTAACTCTAAATAACAAATAGAAATTGAAAGATTGAATAAAAAAGGCCTTAAGAATTATTGTAAATGTGCATGTGTTGTTTCGGATAATTTGCTCTCTTGGTGTGTTGTCTATGCACCATAAATAACAAAAGAAAGCAGAATCAAGAGGCTGTGCTGCAATCTAATTTACTTAAAGCACTTGTTTGCAAGATTAATCCTGGAAGTTGATATCCCATGATGACAGTGAGTGAGTGCTAAATGCCCTTTAATGGAATTAGCAAATACTCTTTTATTGTTTTTGCTAATGTATTTGCTGACATGGTTTAACACTCATATTTAGTTCCCGAAGACCATCTTGCTCAGCTTGAAAACAGTGACAGTGATGAGCTGCCCCTGCTCACTTAATTTACCAATCTTGAACAGCCTTTTTTTTGTTTGCGCTAATGCAATACATAATAAGCAACAAGTATTTAATTACGAGTTACATGAATCCAATCTTCTTTTTGACAGTAAAGAGAATTCCTTGATCATAATCTAATAAAAATATTAATCACGAGTTATCGTTTCAAGAAAAATAAAAATATGGGTTCATGACTAGTTTATTAATTATCTCGATTTTAGAGTTTCATGGCGATTATGAGTTAGGATCTCACCAGTCAAATGCTGACTAGCTTTTTTTACAGAGAAGCATCATGTTATGTCACGAGAGGGATTGCAAGGTTAGATCACAACGATGGACTTGGAAGAACTGTCATTACATCCACTCATCAGCCTAGCAGAGAAGTTTTTCAGCCTTTTATAATCTTTGCATTTTTAGCATCGCATTTCTTACAAGTTAATTGAATAGTTGGAGCAACCAATCATGAGACAACTAATCACTCTTTACTGTAACAGTGTTTCATCATTATTTCTAACTTCCAACACTTAACCAGACACAGATATGTTTACTGGACATGCTTAGGGAATGTCGAAAAGAGTATTTAATCTGTGTGGTTTTCTGGATCTTGAAGCACCGGAGAGCAGGAGAAACCATGCCGGATTTCCGACTCAATCTCTTGTCCTAACAAAATGACCTTCGTGAACATGTTTCGTGGTCTCGGACGGAAGATATAACTGATCGTAGGGAAGGATTGGAATTTCTAAATGAATATCGTTTGATTTGCGTTTCAAACGATATATTTTTTTATATATTTTTGAATAAAAATATTTTTTTAATAATAATTATTAAAAAATTATTTTATCTTAATTAATTTTGTTGAAGTAAAACTTATTATCAATACAATTTAACAATGAAAATATTATATCGTTATGTTTATTCTTGTTTTTATTTAATTTAATTAAGTGAAAATTTTTTTTTTAATAATAATAAATAATAAAAAAATATCTGTGTATTTTAAAATGTAAAAAACATAATGAGAACAGGATTTCTATTTTATTGTTTTTCCCTAAATGGAAAACAATATAATTTTTATTAAAGAAGAAAAACTAGAAAAGATGAAGAAAACTGAAAATAAAAAAGAAAAATTGGTTTTTTTTGGTTACTGCACAGCACCTCAGTACTCTGAGGACATCGAATTATGAAATAATTCTTGAGACTCAGAAGAGACCATCCCGCTGCGGCGATCTTTACGAGGTTTATACAAAATTAGATTTCACTATGCGACGCGCAGTACACAACGCGTCCAATACATTGCCAGCCTCACCATTTCTATTCTCTATCAAAATATCCCCTCATATAATCTTTAAAAAAAATAAAAAAATCAGCATGCTTACAAAATTTTGACCTAATTTAATTTTCTCTGCTTTAAAATTTTAATTATTCCAATTTCCATGGCGTCCTCCTCGTTTGTAGAAATTGAGCGGTTCCATTTGATACCAGTACTGTCAGTAACTTGCCCATGCCACCGCCCTCTATTATCTAAAAATTCCCTAATTCTCAATCGAAAGAAACTCAATTTCGATCTCCTCTTAAATGGATCCAAAACCGCAGTTCCGGTTCACGCTAAGAGGGCGACGGCGAAGCGGTGGTTAATTACGTCCGTGGCCAGAGCTGAGGCTGATAGCGTCGACGAAGACAGCGGCAAAGAGGTATTAAAAATGTTCCTATAACTGACGTTCATTGATAACTGGGAATTCTGTAATTAAGTTTATTCTAGCAATTGTTAGACTTTATTAGTGTCATGTCGAGGAAGACGAGTGGGAGTGGGTGAGGTATTGTGTTTTTTGATGGAAAAAATTGCTATGTAAAGTAAAGCTGAGCCTGAAATCACTTATCATCACTATTGCCCGGTGCCAAGGCAATAATATAGTTAAGCTATGAAACAGAAATTTTAAGTCAATAAAATTAGCAAGCGGATGAATCAAGGAATTTCTTGTATCGACAAGAACACACGCGCTTCCTACCTAGTTGCTAAGTCAATAAAACAAAATGCAGCAAATGGCGCTTTTTCATATTTCTACATCTAAAGTTAGCACGCGGATTAATCAATGAATTGCTATTGTATGCCACATAAAGAATACCCTCCTTCCTTATGACCTGGAAGTGCTAAGAGTTGCTAGTAGTTCTTTTCACTTCTGTATTGTTCCTGATGGAGAGTATTACGTGGTGACAGACTCTGCTAATTCCTATGACTCTGAGTTTTGATGGAAAAGCATTGAAAGGGTTTTGGTTCTGTTTGTTATTACTAGTATTTCTCCAGGATGGTAACATATATGGCATTCCGTTTTATTGACCTGGTAGTTTTATGAGATTTTCTGTCTGCCCATGTGATTGTAAGTGCTTTAATAAATGCAATCTGTGTTGCAAATTTATTTTTTGGATAGTAATTGTCTTGCACACCTCACACATGTCTTTCCTGCTGTAAAATCATTTTAGAATCCTTGTCAGGATCCCAACGATTTTACTACATGCTAGAGGTGCCTCCGCAAAAAGGCAAAAATAAACTTGATAAAGGGGCCTGGGTGTTAATCTCTAGTTTCTGGAATTGCTAAAATCATCTCTGTCATTAACAAAATCACTCTCAGATTCAAGTGTGCTAATTTTCAAATTGGAAAAGGACATTGATTGGGTACAAAAGAGTTTTCTATTTCCATAAGTGTCATAATTTGCCACATCTTCCACCATCCAAAGTAAGAGTAATATGCAATTTACAAGAAACATATGTTAAAAATGCTGAGGTATAAAGAAACTATTAAATTTGGGATTTCAGGATACTTAAAAGTAAATTTAGTGCCTTTTGTGTGCATGTTATTTATTTATTTTGTTCTTATATTGCTTGTTTGCGAGGTTAAATGGAACTGTTGAAATATTTGTGTTATAGGAAGTTGAGAAAGATCAAATTTCACCTGCAAAGGAGCATTCTGTTTCACAACTTCAACAAAAAGCAAGTCAACTGAAGAAAAGAATCATTTTTGGACTTGGGATTGGGATTTCTGCTGGAGGCATAGTATTAGCTGGAGGATGGGTTTTCACTGTAGCTTTAGCTGCCGTTGTATTTGTTGGTGCGCGTGAGTACTTTGAATTGGTTAGAAGTCGTGGAATCACTGCAGGAATGACTCCACCTCCTCGATATGTGTCACGAGTTTGCTCTGTTATTTGTGCTTTCATGCCTGTTCTTACATTGTAAAGATCGTGATGTATCTTTATTTATATTTCAAACATGCATTTAACTTATGATACTCGTATGATTCTTGCAAGTATTAAATTTTTTTTGTTCAGTTGCTGATTAGTATTTCTAAATTTTGGTCAGGTATTTTGGTCAGATTGATATTCCAGTGACATTTGCTGCTTTTGTTGTGGCAATGGCATTGCTTCTACAGAGAGGGAATCCTCGTTTTTCTCAGCTTAGTAGTACTATATTTGGGCTATTTTATTGTGGATATCTTCCTTGTTTCTGGGTGAAGCTTCGATGTGGTTTAGCAGCCCCTGCCTTGAACACAAGTAAGAAGCTGCACTGTTATGCTTATGTAATGATAATGTTAGATTTTAGGAAGCTTATCAAATAACGAACGTGTATGCCATATTGTCAAATTGAGATGTCATATGACATGCTATGCTGATGAATGAAGGACTATCCATTTATTTTACTGATATTTGTGACACATGAAAATGAATATGGTATCTTGCATTAAATGTAAGTCTCCAGACAGGAGGATAATGACTGAAACAACTTATTGAGCAATCTAAATATGGAGATGTCTGCATCCAACTGGAGATTTTACATTTTTGTGCTAGTATGGCATTAGGCTTTGGTTCATGGACTCCCATGTCAGACTAGTTTATGTCTGTGGGGCCTGAACCTTTCTCTCTTTCATTTATGACTTTTAGGTTCTGTGGGCCTGCATCCAAGTGGAAATTGACAACCTCACCTGTTATAAATGGAGCATGATATGGCTTAGGAAAATGCATGGACTGCTCCTTCTACGCTTGAGTTTTTTAGGAGTATCCTCAAGCACTAGCTATATTTTACGTAAAATCAACCTATTCCCATATTGTGAGCCCAGTTCTCCTATATGCATATGTGAGGCCTGATCTAGGACTTGGTGCTTTTAGCGAAGTGATTCTGTACTTTTTATTTTTGGCAGGAATAGGAACAACATGGCCTGTTCTTCTTGGAGGACAAGCTCATTGGACTGTGGGTCTTGTAGCAACCTTGATTTCTATGAGCAGCATCATTGCAGCCGATACATATGCTTTTATAGGAGGCAAGGTACTGGATTGCTGTTCAGCCAAGTTCTATTTTCTATTAGAATGTTAATGGACAACTATTGTTTAACATTTAGCACATTTGGTGTTATATGCAAGTTTCCATTTCGAAAGGCATGAAGTATAGATTGCTTCTGATTTATAGTTTTCATATTGGTGCATATGCTTCAAATAACTAAAAATCAACCTAAGCATGGAAGTGCTGTATGCATGTGTTTGTTGGATATCTTGTAACATAAACTCATGAGTCTGCCATTCTGTCATAATTTGCTGAAGTTGTGGCTTCTGCAGTTCTGAGCTTTTAGCAATTATGAATCCTTTTGTTTTCTGGATTTAAGCAGTCAGTTTTCAAGGAATTACTGAGTTTGTAAATCATTAAAAAATTAGAAAAGAAAAGAAAAATCTTGCAGTGGTTTTTAGACATAAATACACGCTGTAGTATCAAGATGTGATGCTTCTTTCCAGAAAATAAATAAGCAAGTCAGTTTCAATGTTTCATACATCCTCACAGAATTTACTCTCCTTTCGTCTTTGAGTTTTGTAGAAAGATGTTGATATTCCATTAATAAGGTTGCTGGATACAAGAATGTGATGAGCTTTCTCAAGAACCTGAGTTTCTAGCAATGTTATTTGTTTTCAAATTCTGCCTTGTCCTATCAACAAAGCAGCATGAGATAGTTTTGCTAATCCGATACAGGCATTTGGCAGGACACTCCTAACTAGAATTAGTCCAAAGAAGACATGGGAAGGAACAATTGTAGGCTTGGGTGGCTGTATAGTCACTTCGGTGGTACTGTCAAAGTTTTTTTGCTGGCCAACATCCTTGCTAAGGTATTCACTAGCCTTTGATCAAAAGCAGGACCAGTATGTTCACTCATGTTTATACTTTTCAGTCCATTATTCATGTGTCTCAACTCCATAGAATTGGAGGCTAATAAAAATTATCAATTATGTAGCAGAAATGTTGGTTCACCTTAACCAGCATAACTATTCATGGATTTCTCACTGATTAATATGAGTTCATGAATAAGGTTCATGGATTTATTATTTGGAATCCCAATTTTTTCTAATCTCTAACCAACACAAAATAAAATTATGAACAATGCAAATGAACTAGAGGAATGTTGGGTGGACTTTCTTAAATAAACTGTTCTTGGTACTTGGGAGTGAGACTTGTATTCCCATTTTAATTTAGTGTTGCAAGGCTTGTTTTTGTTATGAGTTATTGCTTTATTTTATGTTTTTCTTATGTCCCTCCATATAGTTGGGGTGTGTTGCTGTTTCAGAAAAAGTGTCTTGGCAGTTCAATTCTCTTCTCTTTTACAACAATTAATGGTAGATATAGATGGCTTTTGGCAATGAACAAAACGACATGAAGCTTAATTGTAATGAGATTATCGGTCAACTGACTAGAATGTGCAGCTCATTTGCACATCTTTAAATAGATTGAAAATGTAATGAGGTTATCTATGACTGACTGGCATATGCATCTCATTCGCTCATCTTGAGAGGTCAATAAAATAAACTGTGGCTTCTTCTTTGTTCTTGGAAAATAATAGCTAAATTTTTTGTTTTGTCTTTCGTTAGAACAGCTTGAATCAACATAAAAGATAGGTGAAATATGTACTACTTTTTACTGTACATATTGTTTTTATGTGAATATGCATCATTGGTAATTTTAGAATTTGTTAATGTGAAACTGACTTTCTCTTGATTGGCTTTCAGTGCAATTGCTTTTGGGTTTCTAAATTTCTTCGGATCTATTTTTGGTGATCTCACGGAGTCAATGATCAAACGTGATGCAGGAGTCAAGGACTCTGGCTCATTAATACCTGGACATGGTAATATGTTTTTGCTCATGCTTTTGTTATCTGACAAGACACCAATTCATTTTCTTCACTCTTTATTGAGGGGCAGAACTTACCTGCCTGCATTTTGTTGTGTTACCCCTTTTATTTGAGTTATTTAGATGATTGGTGCAACTTTGTGGGGGTTTTTTTTCTTCGTCTTTCAATAGCTATCATTCTTTTAGCTTTTTACTTGCCTGGCTGTTTCTAGAATTTCCCTTGGGCACTATTTCCCAATCCTTTTATCCTATCCTCAAGTTTTTCACCTGTCAACTCTTTCAAGTAATTTGTAATATGGTTTAAAAATTGGTCATTACCATCATATATCAGCATTGTTTTACAGGGTTTCAGTTTTCCTATACATTGAACCTTCTCGTTTTGGTGATTCATTTCTATAATGGTCATTATCTTCATGGCAGCTGCGCAAGCAGATCTCGCCCGTTCATTTTTTAACTTAATTAAATTTACAACAAAAATTTCACCCAGCACACATCATTTTGCCCATTTCTCATTATCTAATTTTGCACCATTAATCTTATCCCTGGACTTAGAGATTCGAACAGATGCATTTTTTTTATTGAGTTGTTCTTTTGATCTTGATCCCCACCCCCCCCAACTTTGTTCAAATGATTGTCTAACATCTGATACTGCCCACAGGTGGGATACTGGACAGATCAGACAGTTACATTTTCACTGGTGCACTTGCGTACTCCTTTGTTAAAACCTTCCTGCCACTTTATGGAGTTTGAGATAATTTTTTATCAACACAAGAGAAGAGAACAGAGCCAAAGCTTTTTAGGTTTTCTTAACTCCAGAAATCCAGGAGCATGAAGAAGCCCGTACATGAAAGTAGGAATTTGTGAGGGGCAGATGAAAATTATTTTTGTTCTGGAAACCTCGGAGAAGGATGATGAGGCTAAACTTGCAACTCTACCAGGTCTCTTCAACATTTCTCCCTGGAAACCCTTGCAAGAGAATGCTTTTCTTATATACTAATGTTTCAATTTTCCCTGTACTTCACTGTTTATTCATACATTGCGTACCTCTGCATTACCAAGGATTTATGTTGATCTCTAGGATAGAGCTGCCTTCCTCTGGGAATTACATTCCCCATTGATTTCATGCAAGGCAGCCCTCACCAGAGTTGATGCAAGTATTTCTGAGCAATAATGAAGTTCATAGTTCATTCATTCTATGAGGTCCAATACTATTTCCATTTCGTACATGATACATCAAGTTATACTGCATGGACAAATTTATCAAAATTCCCCATTTTATTCATATGAACAGTGAACTCTACTAAATTGTCATTGATCACGGAGCCTAAGCTAGCCATCATTGTAATTTTAGCTGTCGCGTAACCTATAGAATTTCTCTCCATCAGTCCAGGTAGGACTTGCGAATCATGCAGCTTTGAGGACTTTGTTTTCCATGGATGCAGTTGAGTTATAACTAGATTTTGTATTCTGTTGTATTTTCATTATAAAGCCTGCAGAATGGTGACCTGACTGAGATCGTCCAGTTTTTGCCCCCTGAACCCGGGGATCTTTCTGCTAGAAAAAATAGAATTTCATACATGTTTATCCTCCTGTTCACCTCTCCTGCACTGGTTTTCCGGCAGCATGGAAATTACTGGTCATATTAAATACATCAATTAATTAATCCATATGATATAATCAATAAAATTTTAATTGGTAATACGTCGATTTCAAGTAATAATTGCGGGACGAGATTCAGTTGACGTGGTCGCTTCTGTATGCGTGAAGGTCCAATAGAATGCATTTTATTCTTGGGATATGGACATTGCACTCTCACGGGCTAATTATTTCAATGGATACAACAGACAGATATCATCTGATGTTAAAAATTAAAGTATACAAAAAATAATAATCTCATCTGGGTTTTTCTTGTTCTCGTATTTATTTAGAACCTACCTGGATTAGACAATTAACACGGTAATTTCAACTTTAACTCTGTTTTGTACGGTTGCCAAAATACATTCTTAATTTAAGTATTAAATAAATAAATTGTTTGTAAAATAAGAATTTATCATGCTCTCCGAATGACTGAGACTGTACTGTGATGGCCTGACAATTCGAATCCAAAAAATATAACCACAAAACGATTCCAATGCTGATCATGGTAATAATAATAATAATAATAATAATAATAAATCCTGGTGGTTAAGATAATGACTTTGATAAAACACAACAAGGCCATGATGTCCATTCCAACGCTAAAAACGACATGACATCGGCCCCGTCTCCATGACACCACTTATGTCACGTTGTCACTCAGCTTCAAATTGTTGACCACCAGATTTTTGTTTATACCATCAGTTTCCTCATTGAAAGAAAAATAGCTTCAACCATGTCAACTTCATCAAGCCCGAAAGAAATTGAAGAGGCCCACAAGGGACAACCCTAAAAGAAATCCCGCCAACCTATTCTTGTTTGCAGAGGCAAAATGAAGTCAATATCACCGCTTCTTAACCTTTTAGTGCCGTCGGAATTATCAAAAAAGCGAGGAAAATCAACTCATGATGACTAAATCTCTTATCCAATAGCCGAAAGAGTTCTTCTACTATTATAATCCATTGTTACCCAATTATTTCTCAAGGAAACCACCACATAAAGACATGGTCCAAAGAGGTTTGAGAGTTGCAAGTTCTTGTAATTCCATGTGGACTTGTTTGTTTAATTTCTCCCTCTTGGCCTTTTGTATGCTTCTGCTTTTAATCTTCTATCCAATAATAGATAACACATGGCATGCCTGGAATATCTAACCTACAGTATGTTCGTCTGCATCCTCTTATTTCCTTTCTCTTTCTCTTTTTACTTTTAAAACTTGGCCACAAAACAAAAGACTTCCAAAACCCAGTGGTTCATTGCACTAGCTGGCTTACGCTCCTGTTAGTTTTCATGGACTCAATTTATCAACTCTTTTGAGATATTGGAAGAATTGTCACACATGAATGTTTTAGTACTGAATTCGTATTATATTTATACATTGACATGTCAAAATTTGATAGCGCCGTGGGCGTGGCAATTTGCATGTATTTCAGGGATTCACACTGCAAGCTTCTGAAGCACCAAGGCTGCTAATCATAAAACTAGAACAGAAAAACAATTTGCAAACACTTCGCAATAAAAAAAATCCCTGGAAGCTTACGAATCGTATATAATAGACATCGGTAACGCATATCTAGGTTACCCAGCTGGGAAAGAAAATCCGAGTAATGTGGGAAACAAGTGTAATTAATAGTCGTCTTGCTCCCCCCTTCTTTTTTTTGAATGGGTTTCCCCTGATTTATTTTTTGTAGCTTCACCCAGTAACGAGACTGGATTATACCTTTTTTGCGTAAAAACTTTGTTCGGATGCACGATGATCTCATTATCAATATTTAAAACATATATACATTTCCCTTTATTTAATCTTATTAAGGAATTGACCGAAACAAGGAAGAAACAATTAGAATTAGCCAGGCTCGACCAAGTCTGATTTTTTCAGGAGAAAGAATGACAAATAATTAAGGTGGGAGGAATAAAAAAGAAGGAAAACATGAAAGAGACATGAGAAATGAATGTTGGGTTGACCACGATGAGATAGCCATAAAACAAAAGGACGGGGATAAGACAAGAAGATGGGGATAGAAAGAAAAATCAAAACCCTTGGTTTGGAAACTAGCCAGCAAATCCATGCAAAAGTCCCTGTGGAGCTAAATCTCCACCAAATATATGAGACAGGGAGTCTTGAGCATGAAGAGAGGTGGGAGAACAATAAGATCATTTGGGTTTCTCTTATTGGAGGGCCTACCGAAGTGGCTTTTGACAAGTATGAGTGCTTATTTACCCAAAAAAAGGCAAGCATGAGTGCTTACTTTTGGGTTTTTGGAGAGAAAAAAGTCGTGACAACAAAATATGTGGGATTCAAGGAATGCGTTGTTTCTAAGCTGCATAAAGAAATTGAAGGAGGAAAAGGATAGGAAGAGTGAAAATAAAAACAATAAGGAAACTTAAAGAAGAGTTTGGGAAGATACGGTTGGCAAGCATCTATAAAAGTATGCATAGAAATTAAGAGATCAAATTAATTAGACAAGGAAAAGATTGCGTGAATTTTTGTTGCACCAGCACACCATATCTGATCTCGCTTTTCTTTTCGTTACCTCTCCCATACAAATGTTTTTGGCGTTGGCCTTGCATTGTATTTTGATATTTCTTTTTACTATTAACGCACTATGAATTTCGAATTCAATGAGAGGATGTGATAAGAGAATTTCTCTGTAAATATACTGGCATATATGAGTGTGAATTTGCTGGTCTGAGTGTCAATGACTGTGAAATATTGTGGCCTTACAAAAAACTATCCTGTATATATATATATATATATATATATATGACAAGGAATTCCTTTGTGAAATTATTAAAGCTAGAACTAGAATATTATGCATTCCGCCATCATTAATGATCAGTACTAGATGAACGCTTGAAATGCAAAATGGAAGAATCTGTTTTTTATTTTTTAATGTAGTACTTGTACAGTTACAAAAATACACAGAGACGTTATCATTAAAAAGAAAAAAAAGAAAGAGTTCTCCATCTAGTTATGGAGTGAGTTCGGTATTAATTATAGTGCATGCAGGTTGTTTTTTTAAAATATTTTTTATTTAAAAAATATATCAAAATGTTTTTGATTTGTTTTTCAAATTTTTAACATTAGTATTCAAAATAATTAAAAAAAATTAAAATATTAATTTAATATTTTTTAAACCAAAAGTATATTTAAAACACAATTCCAAATGTAAAAACTAAGGGTGCCGAAAGGATATGATACAGGTAGCATAAATCCGAGTAACATTGTTGTATAAAAAAGTAATAGAATTAGAAATTATAAATACTGCACTTCGATTCTAGAGAAAATGCGTCGAATGTAGCAAATATTCGTTCTTTAATTTTATGTCTTAACACGCCATAGCATGAGTAAATATCTATAGAATTAAGCAACTATATATATATAAAATCTACAAGGGATGATTATGAATTTTTTAAAGGGTAAATATCTAATTAATTATGACTTGTCTTTCAACAAAAAAAATCAGGTTCTTTCGGTTTTTGATTGAAAGCAATACTTCTGACAATATACTCTTAAAAAGACATGGATTCGAACCCATCGATTTAAAAGGGTTTTAGAAAAGCAGTGGACAATGTTAATTAGGTAGAAAGAGAAATATATAGGAAACTTAGTTTTTGAAAAAAAAAAAAATGAAGAAATGATTGGCTATAAGTTTCTAAAATCTAAGTATAGTACACACACTTTGAAGTTTCGACATGCTTCGTCCATATCCAAAGGGACCCCATTGGTTATCTAGTAAAATAATTTGTTTTTAGATGAACCAAAAATGGATGACCAATTAGGGTTTAGTTAATGACCCACCGAAACAAAGTTGCCTATATATATATATATATGATATTTTTATTCGGCTAATTATAGAGTACCGTGACTGTACAATCCCACTTGTTATTCATAATGCATATTGCGACGCTAAATATCTATAATAAAGTAGAATGTTAAATAAAAAAACTAAAAAAATCACGTTACACAGTAAAATATGTGTATTTATAGTCAAATAATAAACCAGGACATTCTTATCATAAAAAATAGTAATAAGAAGGAGAGGTTTGAACCTTAGACCTTTTCAAAGAGGTGGATGCGTGCTCAATTATTATTGCTCAACAAGGCGCAGGTCGAAGACGTGACTGGGGAGATGGAACACTAGCAGCATGGCTGATTTGTGCTTGGAGATCGAGGTGAACAAGGTATAATCCATTATTTAATTTTGCCCTAGATGGGTTGCTTTCTGTTGGTCTTAGGAGATTGAAAATCGGCAAGTTAAATTTTATTTCGAGATAGATCAATTTTTAAATTATGAAAAAAAGAAGCCACGTATACAATTGAAGAATCATGCCTATGAATGGATTAACTAAACAGTTAACAAATTTGTCGTATTTTCAGTCCCAATTGAAGACTTAAAATTAAATACTTAATTTTTTTAAATTGGGGGAAAAATATTATTATTATTTTTTTTTTTGAATTTTTGGGAAAAGGAAGCGAATGGTTACATGGGGTTTACTGGTTCTCTTGTTTTAAAAGGTAATATATATCGAATGATTCTCATCCAACAATATTAAAA